CAGAACCCCTGAAGACCTGCAGAACCCCTGAAGACCTGCAGAACCCCTGAAGACCTGCAGAACCCCTGAAGACCTGCAGAACCCCTGAAGACCTGCAGAACCCCTGAAGACCTGCAGAACCTCTGAAGACCTGCAGAACCTCAGAGACCTGCAGAACCTCAGAGACCTGCAGAACCTCTGAAGACCTGCAGAACCTCAGAGACCTGCAGAACCTTAGAGACCTGCAGAACCTCAGAGACCTTCAGAACCTCAGAGACCTGCTGAACCTCTGAAGACCTGCAGAAGCTTAGAGACCTGCAGAACCTCAGAGACCTACAGAACCTCAGATACCTACAGAACCTCAGAGACCTGCAGAACCTCAAAGACCTGCAGAACCTCTGAGACCTGCAGAACCTCAGAGACCTGCAGAACCTCTGAGACCTGCAGAACCTCTGAGACCTACAGAACCTCAGAGACCTACAGAACCTCAGAGACCTACAGAACCTCAGAGACCTGCAGAACCTCAAAGACCTGCAGAACCCCTGAAGACCTGCAGAACCCCTGAAGACCTGCAGAACCTCAGAGACCTGCAGAACCTCTNTGGACACAGTGTGTTACCTGGACACAGTGTGTTACCTGGACACAGTGTGTTACCTGGACACAGTATGTTACCTGGACACAGAGTGTTACCTGGACACAGTGTGTTACCTGGGACACAGTATGTTACCTGGACACAGTATGTTACCTGGACACAGAGTGTTACCTGGACACAGTATGTTACCTGGGACACAGTGTGTTACCTGGACACAGTATGTTACCTGGACACAGTATGTTACCTGGGACACAGTATGTTACCTGGACACAGTATGTTACCTGGACACAGTGTGTTACCTGGGACACAGTGTGTTACCTGGGACACAGTGTGTTACCTGTAACACAGTGTGTGACCTGTAACACAGTGTGTTACCTGGACACAGTGTGTTACCTGGACACAGTGTGTTACCTGGGACACAGTGTGTTACCTGGACACAGTATGTTACCTGGACACAGAGTGTTACCTGGACACAGTGTGTTACCTGGACACAGTATGTTACCTGGACACAGAGTGTTACCTGGACACAGTGTGTTACCTGGACACAGTGTGTTACCTGGGACACAGTGTGTTACCTGGACACAGTGTGTTACCTGGACACAGTGTGTTACCTGGGACACAGTGTGTTACCTGGACACAGTGTGTTACCTGGACACAGTGGACACACCTGGGGCACAGGGCGATGGTGGTTTGCTCAGGATGAGTGCGGCTCCTGCGGGGGACGGGGGCTTGTTGTGGGTGGATGGCGTGGTCGTGAGTTCGGAGTGGGAGTGGGAGGGGTCTGAGTCTCGTTGCCGTGGTGACCGGGCGCTCCAGTCGTCCAGCCCGCTGGAAGCGGCGGCGGTGGCTGAGCTGCAGGTGGCGCTGGCCTTACGAGGCTGCGAACAGAGGAACAGTTTGTTGGGTTCTGACCCGGTTCTTGTTGTTGACTGAAAGGACAACTTTACACGAAGCACTTCCTGTTTGGACCTTAACAAGGGACACGACAGGTAGAAGCACCTGGTTACTGATGATCTGACCCCGCCCCCTCTACCTGTCGGGCCTGCTTCTCCTGGTCCTGCAGCCACTGCAGGTAGGACTCTCGGGCCACCTGCTCCTCGATGGCCTCGTTGGTGGCCTCCCAGTCCGTCGCCCTCTTCTTGTCCTCCAGCATCTGCTGCTCGATCCACGACTCCTCCGACGTCTTGATGGCCGACTTCATCAGAGACTGGTCTGCATACTGGAAGACACACACACACACACACACACACACACACA